AAAACCTGTCTCACCGCTTACCTCTGAGAACGAGAAAACGAACCATGGCATCGACAATGATCTCAAACTCTGCAACAATAATCTCTAAGTCAATGATCAGGCACCGAAAGCTGGGTCTGATCCGTGTACAAAGAAGCAGGAGCAGGTGGATAAGATGAGTGGTAATTGGAAACCAGGCAGAGTTAGACAGGTGAAGAAAATGAGCAATTAGGCCAGCTCTCAGAGTCATGATCATGACAGGTACATCTTGTGATCAAATGGACTGCTCTGCAGACTACCATCTTTACCTTCTGTGAGCTAGCTGGTATTTGTGATTTTTTTATTCTTTTAATTTTCTCTTCAGGAACGCCATGATTAAATCATCTTTTCTCAAAAAAAGGAATTGTGGGTTAAAATAAGAAATCGACAAAGTGCAGAGAGCTTTTTGCACAGTGTAAAAGAATATATAGGCTTTTACCCGAGGGTATCTATAGGCCTTCATAGAGTACTTTAACATAATACTCATTGGTATAGGGAGCTGATGCAGGTGTACTTTAAGATTATCAAGTAGTTAGAATGAAACACAGGTGCAATTCATACTTGGATGCAAGTAAACAGGACTGCCAAAAAGAGGACCTGCGTGGACCAGAATGAAGTCAGCGTCTGAGGAACATTTTAATGAACAGCGCTCCAGCTACGAGACGGCGCCCTTTAATGTCAATTAATAAGACCCCAGCCATGTAGTATCCGACACACTCGACCTAAATTTCTTTTTTATTCAAAAAACATTTAAGAAAGACTTCTGTGTCTTTTGCTCTTTCTGTGTGTTTTTAAAATGGTTGCTTGGAAGTCAACCCTCCACTGTAGCATTCTTACAGAATAATCTGTAAGGGTTAGTTGCAGTTTTGAGTTTACTTTTATTTATGCATTTATTCATTTTAAAGGGAAAAAAACAACATGAGGAAAGCTGAGTTGTGGTGTTTCATATGAAATTTTTCTTGCCGTTAATATGCATTGAACTGGGAGTTTTGAACAGAGCAGAGATAGGGGAGATCTCTGGCCTTTAGCCTAGGGTTTTTGTTGATTTATTGACTTAATTGATTGACTTAATTGATCTCACAGTGGAGAAATGTACTCGTTACATCAGCTCAAACAGTCAAAGGAGAAGAAGGTGCCAAAGGAAGGAAAAGGTGCATGGGATTTATATACAGTATATACATAGTGTCCAAATATGACAGTTTTAGTTTTTTTGTTTTCATAGAGGGATCATTATACAGGGTTATTGCACAGGTTGTTCCATTCCATTCCATTGTCTTCCGGGTCCGGAGTAGAGATTGACATTTTTTCGGGAATCCCACGGGTCACGGGATTCCCGTGGGATGGGAGTCAGTATTAGT